CATCTCAAATATTAAAATAAGTCCACAGCATTGCACATGTTTGTTTGCAAATATTTCCATTGAGATTAATTAATGACTGATTCTCAAAATTATGGATGTCCAATCAGGATGTTTTAGGCATAAATATAAGCCCAGTATGACTAAACAGACGCTCACAAGTAGCAGACATGAAGAAATGCTTGTGGTTGGTTAGCTTCCAAGTCTGTCTTGTGTCCTGTGATTGGATATTTAAAACTATTTTTGGGGGAATGTAACTGTTAGATATAAACTAGGTTACCCCATATTTATGTGAATATGTTCTATTATGTTTTGCGTTAGTTGTGGAATAAAGCGCCACTTCCCTGCGCATGTTATGTCTATTTTGTTTTTACGACTGGTCCCAAAATATACTGGAAAGAGCAAGAACGCTTGTGTCATTGTCTGAGCCTCTCTCATCATATTTTGTTGATATCCACCAAAAATGAACACTGTAACTTCAACAGGTTATGGGCCCAGCCACAGGTTGGTGTTTTATGGTGATGAAAGCAAGTATGAGTTGTGGGAAGTGAAGTTCTTCGGCCATTTAAGACTTCAAAAACTTCTCGATGTCGTTAATCAAGATGCAGACGGTGCAGAGGTGATGGAGAAGAATGCTGAAGTGTTTGCAGAACTAGTCCAGTACCTCGACGATAGAAGTCTTTCCCTTATAATATGAGATGCCAAAGATGACGGTAGGAAGTTGTTAAAGATTCTCCGTGAACATTATCTAGGCAGCAGCAAGCCAAGAATTATTGCCTTGTATACAGAACTGACGTCACTCAAGAAATCCAATGAAGAGACCATTACCGACTACGTGATACGGGCTGAAACGGCAGCAGCTTCATTGAAGCTAGCAGGTGAAACCATCAGTGACAATTTACTTGTAGCAATGTTATTAAAAGGATTACCTTTAGAATATAAGACATTTTCTACTGTTGTGACGCAGAAAGAAGCAGCTGTTAGTTTCTCTGAATTTAAAGTAGCATTAAGAAGTTTTGAAGAAACTGAAAAGTGTCAACAACAACAAGGTGAGGATGCAGATAATGTGATGAATACAAAATTATAATATATGAATATTAAATGCTTTTCCTGTGGAAAAATAGGACACAGAAAATCTGAGTGCAGAAGTAAAGACAAATATAATCCTAATGAAGCAAAGCCTAGTAGGTGGTGTGATAACTGCAAATCCCCTACTCATGATACTAATTATTGCTGCAGAAATAATTCAGGAAAGTCTGTAACTAGCAGTGAAGAAGATAGCCATTCACTTGCATTTAGAGTTAGTGTCAGTTCTGTTTATAATGTAAGTAGTGATGTAAATACACAATGCCTGTTGGTAGTGTAGTGGACGTCTCCCCTACAACTTCCTAACTGCGTAGCCACGCCACCACCTGTTACCGTCTTCCCTAGCAACCAAGCGTATCCGCATTCCAATGCCCGCCGTATCTTAGCAACGGAACTAGTCACCGGCTACTTCTCGGGTTTTCCCACCATGACTCATAGCCGCTGCTGGGTGTATATAAGCTCTGTCTCTCCCTTGAGATTCAGTCTGACCAATCTTCTTGAACAAGCAACACCTCCTCCTCCGCCGCTGCCTGGCTGCCCCTCGCATCTCCTCGCCTGCCTGGCGGTCCTCGCTCCCACCGGCGAGCATGGCGACCCACCAGCTGTCCTTCCCTGAGCTTCCTCACCAACCAACTCTCATTCTGCCCATTTTCCTGAACAAGCAACACCTCCTCCTCTGCCGCTGCCTGGCGACCCTCGCCTCTACTCCGCCTGCCTGGCGGTCCTCGCTCCCGCCAGCGAGCATGTCCTTCTCTGAGCTTCCTCACCAACCAACTCTCATTCTGCCCATTTTCCTGAACAAGCAACATCTCCTCCAGCAAGCTCCATGCTGTTAACATTTCATTCAACCAGGAGGCCAGCAACAGGCAACACCTTCTCTAACGAAGCTCCTGCACATCTACCTCCTTCAACACGATACTCACCGAACGTCTTCTACTGAGCTGCTCCCCACCACACGGCATCTCCAGCACCAGACTGTCTATCATATAACTTATATATTATACAAGAAAACCACATTAGAGTTTCCTTCCATCCTGAGTGCTAGACAACTTTAATATCTCGATACCCCTACAGTAGACTGTGACGCGACATCACATATAAGTGATAAATCACAGTTTGTAAAATTTGATCAGAATTTTGATTGTTCTAACCATTGTATAGAATTAGCAGATGGTAGTAGGCAAAATGGTATTGTATCAGGCAGAGGTGATGCAAGAGTTGAAATTAATGATGTTAATGGTAATAGCCATAAAGTTCTACTCAAAAATGCTCTATGTGTTCCTTCCTATAAACAGAATATATTTTCTGTTTTAGCAGCCACAGAGAAAGGAGCATCAGTAAATTTTCCCCAAATTCTGCAGAATTGAAGGCCTCAGATGATACAGTGTTTGATATTAATAAACATGGTAAACTGTATTATCTGAATAATGTGAACTCACAGAAAAGCAGCAGTTACACTATTGAGGAATGGCATAGAATTTTAGGTCATTGTAATGTGAAAGATATACTTAAATTAGAAAATGTTGTTAATGGTATGAAAATTACAGATAAGAATAATTTTGATTGTAATACTGTATATGCGTTTCTTGTAATATATGCGTTTCAGGTAAAATGTCTCCGTCTAGAAGTAGAGAACCTGATTAGCGAGAAACAACCAATTTAGAACTTGTACACTGTGATTTAGCAGGTCCTGTAGACCCTACTGCAAGAGAAGGTTTTAAGTATGCCATTTCCTTTGTAGATGACTTCTCTGGTATGATCATGATTTATTTTTTGAGATCTAAGAGTGATACTTTGGCAGCTACAGAAAAATTCTTGGCGGATTCTGCTCCATATGGATCTGTCAAACGACTAAGGTCTGACAATGGTGGTGAATTTACTTCCACTGAATTTAAAACTCTAATCATTAAAAATCACATAAAGCATGAATTTTCTCCTCCATATTCACCACATCAAAATGGTACAGCGGAGCGAGCTTGGAGGTCTATTTTTGATATAGCCAGATGCTTATTGTTGGAAGCAAAGGTACCTAAGACTCTATGGACTTAAGCTGCGAAACCTTCAGGATACATTCGTAACAGATGCTACAACCATGGTTGTAAATGGATGAAAATAAATGAAGAAATTTATGTAAATCTACCCAAAAATACAGTTGAAAACTTTATATGATAAAATGTACACTAATGTACAACAATTTTTATCTCTTGAACAAAATATATGAATTTTACATTCAAATTATTGGCTGTCTTGCAAGGATTCCAGCAATGCAAATTATAATCTCCAAACTTTAGTCTGAGATATTATATAAGATAAAAACTGTAAGCCTAAAACCCTGACTGGAGGAGAGGGAGGGAGGGTGGGAGGGAGGGACGGAGCCAGCCAGCCAGGGAGGGGTGGGGGATTGGGGTGATATGTTTGACAGTTTGAGCCGAAGGTCTCTATGTGTTTATTTAACAGTCCTACTAAGCTTCTCTCATTGCTGGGATTCTTGTAAGATACTGATTAATTTGAATATAAATATGCTATAATTTGCACTGGACATAACAATTTTAGTACCATAATCAAATTAGTACATGTGCACTCCAGCTTTGCACTAAGGTCATTTATTTCTTTTATGTTTCTTTTAGTATGGTGTGTGCATGTAAATGGATGAAAATAAATGAAGAAATTTATGTAAATCTACCCAAAAATACAGTTGAAAAACTTTTTATAAAATGTACTACAGTATTGTACACTAATGTACTAAATTTTTTATATCTTGAGCAAAATATATGACGCTTATATTCAAATTAATCTCTGTCTTGCAAGGATTTCAGCAATGCAAATTATATTATCCTAACTTTAGTCTGAGATATTATATAAAATAAACATAAAGAAATCACCAATCTTTTGTCTGGGAGGGAGGGGGCGGGAGGTGAGGTGACAGAATGTCTGGCGTTTGTTTGTTTATTTATTTGAGATAAGATTTGACAGTTGGCGCTGAAGGCCTGCCTGCGTGTTTATTTATCATTACTTAAGAGTGACTAAGCTCTTCTCATAATTTGCCACCCAAACGACCTGGGTGAATATAACTTACATTGCTGGGATTCTTGTAAGATAGTGATTTATTTGAATACCTGTATAAACAATCTATATTTGCAATAGGCATAACAATTTAAGTACCGTAATCATTTAGTACATGTACAGTACAGGTTTGCACTTAGGTCCATTGTTAACCGAGGGACCACTGTAATGCAGTGTACTTGTACTGTACAATATTGACTAAATTCACTAGATAACGTACACAACTAATGGTTGGTAAAACTTGTCAAGTAAGTGAGTGTCAAGTCTGTCAGTATGAGTGGCACGTGTGAGTGCTTGTGTCCCCCATCATAGGAGTCCGTTTTCTCTCGCTTCAGGACGCCTGAGTCCGTTTTCTCTTAATCTTAGAGTGCAGTGCACCAGAGACTTCGTTATTCCTTAGTAATGACACAGAATTTGAAATTGCAACCCCAATTGCAACTGGGGTTGCAATTGTTGAGGCAACTAGATATGTCTGATTACAGCAAATGTGTTATTGTCAATTTGTAGGTGAAAGATTTTATCCTCAATAGATGTAGGTTAACATTACACACCCCATGCCTCTCATTTTTCTTATTTTATGGCAACATACCAAGATGTACTGTAAAAAATTTTACTATTTAATTTTTATTATACTCATTTATATGTATTTGGCTCAAATTTAATTAAGTGTACAATACTGTATAGATATTGTTTAGTGAAGGAACAGGCAACTTAGTGAGACTTTGAGTGCTAATCGCAGCCATGGAACCTAACCCCTATTTCCCATAAGCCTTTAGTCAAGCCAACCTCATAAGGGACCACTGTATAATAAAATTACTAATGAACATAACAGGTAAATATAAATCCTCCCATACCTTTTGTGAGTCTTGATCTTATAATCTTCAGTAAGCTCTCTGCAACACTTGACCATGACAAATCCACTGAGATCCTTGAAACCTTCTTCATACAAATATGGGTCAGCACAATCCACTTCAGGAGCAAAAACCATTGTTGTCTGGTCCATCATCACCTTCAGCACACACCGGTACTCCTCATTAGCTTGTATGCCTCCTTCAGGATCTCCTATTTGAAAACATTTATTAATACCTGTCACACTCTTAATCTTTTTGCTCTTTTAAGCATTTTTCTGCCATAATGCATGGTGGTTAGAATTACAATAATTATAATACTGTAACAACAACAACAACAACAATAATAATAATAATAATAATAATAATAATAATAATAATAATAATAATAATCATAATAATAATAATACTTTTACTTTTATCCTCTTCGCCACTGATCGGCTTGTTAGCCGCTTGGGCGATCGGTCACGTCTCTTTTCATTTATATTCTTCACCAATAGATTGGCTAACTAGCCGCCCGAGCGATCGGTCACGTCTCTGTCACGCACTGTTGGCAAATACTGGGCATGCACCGGCTCCTGAATGTACCTGAACCCGCTCCAGTGTTGGTCAAGTTCTTGTCTTGAAAGAGCTCACACTCGGTGCTGTCAGAACACTCTCTGGTAGATTGTTCCAAGAGTTTACAACACTCACTCCGAAAGAGTTTGCCCTCACAGTTTTCTGGACTTGCGGCTTCATCAATCTTGAGCTGTGACCCCTTGTGGGGCGAGCGTCCGCCAGCTCCAATTAAGGACACTCAACTGAGTAGTGCCCCCTGAGATGCATACACACCTCAACTAGGTCCCCCCTTGCCCATCTGTAGTATAAGCTAGGCAAGTTCAGGTGCTCCAATCTCTCAGGGTAGCTGAGGTGCCGAAGTGCAGGCACCAGTCTGGTGGCCCTCCTTTGAACATTTTCAACCAACTGACAGTCCCTAGCATATCTCGGGTGTAATGACAACGGTCTTACACGTCAGTTAGCGCCAAAATCAAATGATTCATATTACGCTTAATAGCCCACAAAACATGTAACTCGGCTTTCGTTTGAGTCCTCCATCTGAGGAGTCCGTTTCCTCATCACTTCAAGACACCTCAGTCCTCCGTTATCCCATTTTCTCTGACTTACTGAAACCAACCTCTCTATAAAAATGAATTTGAGTGTGAGAGAAACACCCTTGTTTTGAGTCAACTTAGATATGTCTGTTTACAGTTGGAACATTCAAGATCCATTGTGAGTGGGGTAGAATGCTTCAACTGTCCTTATCGATAGTAGAACGTGTCACGTAAGTAGTGTCGAGTTTGCCAGCTAGAGTGGCGTATTTTCGTCCGTGGGGATATTCATGAGTTTCTGATTGCTCCTGAAGTTATATCATTTTGTCGCCCCGACATCAGAGAATCTGATGTTTATAGTTTAGTTAGTGTCAGTTGTCTATTTAAGAAAGTCATTAATCTCCTGAACTATTCTGTCAACTGGTATAATCTCCAAGATCTAGCGCCTCCCCGTGAATAGCTCCTTGTTCGCCCCAGGCCTGAGCTTGCAGAATTTATGTTATCGACGTGTATATTCCACCTTTTCCTGGCAAGCTCAACCTCTGATTAGATTATATGAATAGACATAGGAAATTACCCTGGTCAAGAACACCGGAGTTCATAACTAAGTATACAGTGATCCAAAATGGTAGAGAAGTTATGTTGTTGGTAAGATCGACCCTTCTGGTATGAACACGGAGGCCCAAGCTGCCCCGCTGGTGCACGTATATACCTCTACACGAGGGAGAATCACGCATTCGTGACTCTTCCTCAACGTCTCTCCAGGTATGTTAACGTGTGTTCCCCGCCGCCTATTAATTCAGTTTAACTTAGTCAATTTTGTGAATATCAGTGTTCATGTGTTAACATAGTGAATTCTGTGCCAATAAAGTCCAGTAACGTAGAGATTTAGATATCGTCTGAACCGTTGCCAGACGTATGTTTTGTATAGTTGAAGTTAGACATTTACGCATTCGTGACTCTTCCTCAACGTCTCTCCAGTGTGTTGAGCTGAATACTCATCGGCTACCGTGGGTCGGTAACCGGGTTGGACGATGCCGTTAATTCGACAGGATTAAACTGGGAATTCGGTTTCCTGCAAATCAGGCGCCAGCTCCCTGGGCGTGTCTCGGTCTACAACCGACCCCTAACAGCGATCTTCATTTGTTGTAGAGACCAGCGTTACCCTGGGGCACTCCTCACAGTTACATGGGCCTAAGTATTATTGTATCTTGTTTGGGGGATAACCAGCAGAAATATAGTATCCCAGGTTAAGTATTGAACCACTGAATGAGAGTTCAAAGTGCCATGTTGTTCCTTGCGAATTAACAGGAGGTATTGTATGTTGCGCAAATTGTGGAGTTGTCCAGTGTGTTATGTATTCATCGGTAGTGACCATGAAATGATAATCTGAGAGCATAATGATATAACCAAGAAGTGAAGAGTTAATTTGCTACTTGGTAAAGTAAGACCTGAGGGTCCAGTGATATCTGGTGTATACCCATTACTGAATATCATTTGGCAGAGTAATAATACCACAATTGTCGATTGAAGTAATAAGTATTTGGAAGTATTTAATGAGGTAATAAGTTCTTGAAGTGTTTGATGACTTAATAAATAATTTGCAGTTCTGTTTTGTCTGAGTGAATCTAAGATGCATCTTATCCAATCACTGTGTTAATAAATATTGAATTAGTAATCTACGTCTACGAGTATCACCACTCTATCCTTTCCCACATTGGTTCTCAGAAAATAACTAACTCACGTGCCTAGAAGCTCGCTACCTAACAGTTAACTAAGATATGTTATAATCTAATAAAATCCTGGGTGGTGGCAGGTCTACCGTTGTAAGTATAATAAGTGTGGTAATAAGAAAGACATGGTTTTAGGTTAATCCATGGTTTTAGAATATAACTAGAACAAAAATATATGGATGAATCATAATATATGACAGGAAATGAAAAGAAAGAACATTGACTTGGAAAATATAAGCAGAGAAGCATAAGAGTTACTTATATAAGAATATAAGGTATATAGAGATAAAGAACATATAAGAATATAAGCAGGAATATATAAAGTAAGTATGTGTGTAAGGAACTGAAGAAGGATAAGTATATAAAACAGGATACTCATTGAAAATAATATCTGTATGGTAAATTATTAAAAAGAGGAAACTCGGCCCGTTACAAATGGTGACCAGCTAGTTGGATTATTTTCATTTGAGAACCAATTTGAAGGAATGAGGTGTGGTACTTTGGTGAATTTGTTTTCTCAAAATACAGTATACAGTAATGTACAATTTTGTTATCAGTAAAGAGTACAAATAATTGTGTGATTTAAAGTACAAACTTTTGTGTCAAGTACTGTACAATGCTGTATTTGGAACTGCAAAGATATTTTTTTAAAGAGTGAGGGAAGAACTAACAATTGATTCAGTTTCACAATTTTTTTTTGTGAATGAGTTATAATTTCTTTTGTGTCACAAAGTTGAGTTATACTGCCAGATCTGGGGTCACTAAATCTAAGGGGATAACTTAACTCTAATCTTAATTCCTAAGGGTCGCTGCCACCAGACCCCCTCTGGACAGCATGTAGCTCGTTAGGTAGTGGGCAGAGTAGGCTAGGCATTGGGTTAGGTTTTCCATTGACCAGATCGATAAGGGTAAAGAAGGGTGAAACCATAACATGTCTTAATTGATTTATTCCTTATAAAACATACTGGTAAAAAACATATACATGAATTGGCCTTCCTCAGAAGAACAACGGAAATGTGGTTACCCAGATGGGCCCCAGACTCTTACATTAATGGCGCCATCATCCACCTACTTATTGCATAACAATCTGTGACCCACGTACCTCGGTCGTTCCTTCTTACAATATCCCTTAACACATCAGACTGCTCCACCTGTGTGGAATATAGCACCGTCGGTTATCATACATAGTAGCACCATCTCAACACACCTATTACACTCCATACCTGCAAGTATGTGACTCCTTACAGCGACTTTTAGATTTTAGGCCCTCGTTCGCACACACGCCCTCATTGGTGGGACGAGGCTTGACCAGGAACATACCAGCACTATTTCGCCTGGTATTATAGGTCGCTCCAAGTAGTGACGACCGCAGTTTCTCCGCGGTCTCCTTGATTGTGACTATTCATGTGTGGGTGATGCTGGGAATCCACGGTTCGCAGTGGACTGGTATAGTGGGGAGTAATTCCCACGGTGTAAGCTCAGGGCAATGGCGGCTGGGCGGCAAGATACCCCAACTCACGTAGCACCTTAATTGTAGGAGGCGGATATATAGCCGGCTAGGACACTGACCTGTGTTGACGGCAGAACAGGGAAAGACTAAGCAATAATGCTGGTACGGTTATCCCATCCTTAACACATCCTATCACACTTATATATCCATGAAGCTTTAAACTGTAGTCACTGTTGTTATCAATATGGTGGCAGGGGATATAGCCCGCTAGGACATGACCTGTGTGTTGTGACGGAAACGGAAAGACTAAGGCCCGGCTTCCATGCATCTTCTCGTCACATACAGTACCACAGTTCCAATCCTCAATTACATTTTTGTTTCTTATGGTTCTCCCTAGACACTTTACGGTACTCATTTCTTATAAACACGCATATTGTCCTAACTTATACACTAGGTCAGGTCTTGTTTGCTAGTGCTTGGTTAAATGCCTGGGATTTTACCCCAATATCCGCGGGCATCTGAGAGGCTGAGGTACATGGCGGCGCCTTGAAACAAAACCGAATGATCATGTGAGGGTGCTATCAACTTCATAAAAACTGTAATGAGGGATCCTCCTCTCACACAGTGCACTATTTGAACTGGCCTCAGATTCTCTGATCACTGCGCGCACATCGTGGGTATACGTCACGTGAGGCTACGAGGTGTATTAAATTCATACCGGCGCATACCGCGATATTTCCTTTCCAGTATAGTTTCTATATCTGTCAACACCTCACATAGTTCTGATACATTTATCCTTTTTCCCCGATCATTGTTCTCATGTATTTTCATATGATATCTGTTGGAGTTAGGTTCGCTACGCACAGACGTAAATAGTAGGACCTTCAAACCCTGCTCCACACTTAGTCTTACAGTACCTAGTCGGCTCAACTGGACTTTAGCATTTCATCTTTATGCCTGCCTGAAGTGATCCTTGTGCTATGAATACGCAATA